AATATAGTAATTTTTAAAATCGAGGTTATTGGAATTGCTGGTATTGTACACCTTTGGGCAATCAGCAAGTGATGTGCAGTAACTTCTGGTTAGAAGCTTCAGTCTGACAGCTGTTGACCCACTGATGAATTGAAGACAGTGGCTCGACAAGGTGTCCTTCGAGGAAGTATTCCTGTAAATGTCACTGCTTAGTTTGCCACTAATACATTGTGATGATGCAGTTTTAAAGCCAGACTTTCTACCTGGTGTACGGTAAACAGTTTACTGGTTACATTTTCCATCAGCCCTGCTTATTATTGGAGATGGAGAAACCTCCCTGCTGCAGTTACTAAGACTTCTGAAGTACTGTGTGGGTTTAAAATTTTGGTGACTGATAGGCGCAAAATGAAGGCGGGGGGGGGGGTTAACTGCCACTTATTTTCTGTTTAAGAGTAACTTCATGTGCTGTATTAAATTACTAGCTTTGAGTGGAAAATGAGATGTAACATTTTGTTGATAGTTGTGGAGTCTTTTCAGAGCCAACTGAGAATTTTGAGTTGCTTAGGCACATACTTAAAACGATGCATAGCTCATACAAAGGCAACAGAAGTCCTGTGGTACAGAAAGAGCTGTTAATGATGAGTGTTTGGCTTTTAAGATAATTTCTTGGAAGTGTAGTAAACCAAGCATCAATAAAGCTGTTTGACGGGGATAGAATGGATTTGTTATTTATTAGTCATCTGAGCTGACTGGAGCAAGTGCTTTTGCTCACATATACAGATGAAGAGAAATGAGGAATTCAAGGCTGGAAGGACTAGATGGATGGTGCCTACTGCCTTAACCCCGTCTGATCAAATTTCACTAATATGCAAGTGTTGTGATGCCTTGAAGTACCTGTGCATTTTTGGTCGTTCTCTTAGAGGCAGTGGAGACTGGCATTGAGGAATTAACAGCTAGCTTAGTTTCCTGCGTTTTGTAATTGGGACAGTTGGGAACAAGCACAAGGAGAAGAGCGGGCAGGTTGCGTAAGTGTGAAATTGGAGATGAGAATAGGAGCCACTCTGGGAAGAAGAAATGTAACAACCTCAGTGCAGCAAGTACAGAAGAATTGAAGTGGAGAAAATAGATGTGAAGAAGGATTGTTCTTGTCATGATGCTTCAGTTTGTCCAAATGAGGTTGCTGCAATAAGAGAGTAGAAAGTTTTGTTCCCTTCACAGGTCACAGACGACTAGATGGGACTGTGTTGCTTGCTCCGAGTCCTACAACTATTAGGCTAATTTTAGCGTACTCTAAAATATTCTAGAACAATTTGTAGAATAGTTTTTTGGTGTATGTAACTACATCATCAAAATTAATATTTTCATTAAGAGTGAATTTTAGTTAGCCATTCGGATTTATTATTACTTGGTGAAATATCTAATGCATGTTAGAAAAACTTTTTAAAATAAAAGCAGCACTGTAGTTGATGTGTCATGAGGATCATCTTTCTTACAGAGACCTAGTAGATGGTGGCTTGAGCTCTTGGTTACTGATAGAGGAACTTCCTGGCAAGGGACTGAAAAAGTAAAGTGGTTTCAACTGCTAAACACTGCTTCAGAACTGATGAATGAACAGAAGAATTCAGGGAGTATGTTTTAGAGGAAGTGATCTTAAGTGAAAGACTTAAATATGCACGCCCTGAATATCTTTGCTTTTTGCATGTTAAAAATCCGGAGTTTTAAGAGAATATCCGTGAAAGTATGTATCATAGGGTAGTCATGATGTTTGTGATGTGCTAGTAGCAGAGTGTTTAAAAAAAACCAAAACCCCACCACCACACAAACAAACCCGAACAAAAAAACCCAAGCTTTTTCAGAATAGTTGATTAATGTTTCTTTAGAGACAGATTCCTTGGTAATTTTTTCCATTAATCTTTTGCCAGTGCTACTGACGTGTATGAGCTATACATATTTTTATCTATCTTTGGCCTTTTCAGTCTGTTTACCAGGCTTGATGTGTTGATTGTGTTTTCTGCTTGAGGGTACAGACTGTAGCTGAGATGATAATGATTCGAGCTAAGACAATGTAAAATTAAATTTCAGCTTTTTTGTCTCAAAATAGATTCCTGAATTATTTGACTCTTGGGTTATAATGTGCATGTGCACACATGTATTCTGTTCCTTCCCTGGGAAGATGAGACTTGATTTGGTCCTGGTATGAAATGCGTCTCTTTAAAATCCTAGACTTCCTTGGGATGGAAAAACCATTCCCTTTCCAGATACGCATACTGAAACTTCTTCCTAACAATTCAGTAAAGTATTGTTTAGTAAGCCAAGACAGGCATATTTTAAAACTACGAATTTTAAATGTTGTGTCGACTTTATTTCAAGGAAATATGCACTCAGATATGGAATGGTAGTGGTGAGACTGCAAAATAGTGTATTTCAGCGAGAAAGTCTGAAAATTTTTTTAGTTTAATTTGCTGGTTTTCATGCCTAAGTATTATGGTAGTCTTCAGTTGCAGAATAACATTAAACATATTTGGGGGTGGGGGGGGAGGAACATATTGTACACTGTCAAACTCCTTGATTACAGAAAGATTAGTTTTGGTTGGGCCTCTCAGGCATGCGATTGAAATGGGAATAACAAGATTTCTTGTATAATGTATTGATACTGAAAAAGATTAACAAGATTCCATCACTGAGATAGCTAGGACTGATGTTCTTTGGGGAGTTTAGTTTTGCATTTCATATATTCTGTGAAGAGCTTTTTTCATTTCTAGCTGAGTATGTAAACTTCTATGACAGACCTCAGTTGGACTCGCAGAAAACTTAGATGCAGCTTGTGATATATTACTTGTCCTGTCTCCCTGAAGAATTTCAGCTAGCATTAAACCAATTTCCTGCAAAACTTGGTAGTCATTTCTTTTACTAGAATTGTCTGCTTGTACCTTAAAGTTACTTTATAAACCTTAAGTGCAGTGATGGCATTTAGATGATGTTGTTTCAATTTGAAAACAAATGAACAGAAGTCCGTGGAACAGTACCAATGCACACTTTCCTCATCAGGGGAGTTGAAACCTTGTGGTCAGTGCTACGAAACTTCTTGCCACTTGGGTAAATGTTAGCTGATGAAGTTTTATGCAGTCAAGACTAGTGCTACAGGATGCTAAAGCCTTCAGTTTACTGATAAGTTGAGGAAGCATTTGCTGCCTAACAAATTTGATCTGTTGGGGTTGCATTCTGCCAGTGGAGCCTCTTTTATTACTAAGCATGTTCTCTTCTAGCGATTTTTTTCTACGTGTCCCTGTCCTGGTTGCTTCTGTTTCTCCTGTTTATCTCATTGTGTGCTACTCTTCTATGTGTCAGGGTCTTCTGCATTCCAGTCAGACATCTTATCTTGCTTCTCCTGTCCCAAGCAGCCAGTACAGTGAGTGTTGATAGTAACGGTACACACCTTGGTTCCTGTGTTTGGTTATACTGTCTCAGAAATTTCAAAGAAACTTCTGTTTGCCTTGTTTCCAGGAAATAACACGCTTGTATTTCTGGGTATCTTTGTGTGTGTGTGAGGTGCAACAAGAGAGTACGGCAGAAGCAGTCTTCATGAAACTCTGGTACCAAATCCACCGAGCTTTTGTTGGTATTCAGGGAAACCAAAGGGAGTGGTTTCCCTATGAGTTTAGAGGACAACAGGTGGAAGACAGTACTGTCTTTCCTGGCATTACTGTTGTGTGGATGCTGGTCGGCTGGAAACAAATCTTACAAAGCCTGACTTCTTACAGTGGAATTTGTTCTCTTTGACAGCATAAGATGCAAGTGTGGCTATAGGTCAGAGAAGTGCAAGACTAACTTGTAGCAGCAGCTCTTCTTCGGATCTGTAGAAGTTCATCGTGAAAACCTGCATTTCAGAAGCGATTTAATTTAAAATCGTGATGAGAATTGCACTTTCTGTATTTATTCTGGAAGTCCAAATATTTTAATTTGAAGCAGCAAAATAAAAACAGCTGCTGAAGTTGTGTGCCATTCTCTTCAGGGTGCACTGATCAAAACTTCTAATACAGTTTGTAACAGGGACTGTGGCATTTTTAGTACAGGTATATCAGTGGATTACTTTCACTGGTTTTAGTATCTGTACAGTTACTGCATTAGGCAGTGAATTATAGTAAATTTGCTGAAAATTATCCTTAAGTTCATCAGTGGGTTCTGTGGCCCATGCTGATTTTCATTTCTGCTGTGATGATGCCTCGCTACTACCTAGTTCTTAGACCAGGGATATCTGAAGGAGCAGCTGTAATCTGCCTCTGCATCCCCTTCTGACAACAGTAGGCCACTGTAATGCATCTTGTAGTATTAAAAACGAATATATGCAAACTTAGCCAATTCATTGATTCATACATGTTTTGTGTTTCCAGTTGTATTACCTGTTCTTTTTGAGTTCTGTGCAAAAGCAAAAAGTACCTAAAGTAGGGCATCTGAAGCAAATCAGACGCTAAAATCTGTATTGCAAAACTTTCATTTGAAACACTAGTGTAGTTGCAATAGCTTGATGTAAACAAGGATTTGGGGTGGTATGTTAACATAAGAATAAAATACAGCAGTCTTATAACCGATGTACAGGAAGGAATTTTTTTTTCTTATATAACTGGAAAATGCTTTGTAATCACTCTATTCACTGTAAGTCATTTGTGTGTGAAACATTGAATGGCGATTGACTCCACTGAAAATTTTGCTGCAGACTTTCTCTCCTTTTTTGTGTCGGTTGTATAGATAAATAAGTGGTTATATTCAGGGTTTACGATTTTTTTACTTATTTCAAGTTAGTGCATATTTTTGCTAGAAATGGTGAGAAGATTTTATTATAGCAAAAACTTTAAACTGGAAGGCTTAAAAAGTATAAACCAGGTGGATAAGGACCTCTTTAATGTTTTTTGTAATTGAACACTGGATATTTGATGTTATATTGTGACTTTTCGAAGTTGCCTGCAAGGGTGATTATTTTTTTTAATAATGCTTTTCAGTAATAAATTCATCTTTTCTTGTAGATAAAATACAGAATTTGAATGAAGATAATGAGAAGAACAGTCATTTCATCTACGAGAATGCTGAAGACGGTAACAAAGCCAATGCTGAAACTACAGATGCTTCTGGATACAACATTGAAGTCAAGGACTTGCCTGATTCTTGGGACTCCCACATCGGAAAAACAGCAGACTCTCCATCAGAAACATCTCAGACGAAGGGGCCATTAACAACTCACTTGTATGAATGGGAAGATGAAACTGAAGACACCAGAACTGGAGAGTATATATTAGATTTTGACAATGAACATCTCTCAGAGATGAAGAGCAAGGATGAGGAGTGTGATAAAGAAGATACTGAAAATCCAAAGGAAGCCATTAGTGAAGAACTTGTGCAAACTGTTCCTAGGCCAAGCAACTGTAGGACATACTGTCGATCCAACAAAGCAAAACCGCAGGGGGCAACAAATTTTGACAAGCTAATGGATGGCGCTAGTCAGTCTTTATCCAAAGCAAACAGTGAGTCAAATAGCGATGGTCTGAACCCGGCAAGAAAAGTTTCTTTAAGTAGTGGGACCAGTTTTAGAGGGACGGTTGGACGGACTAGAGACTACACTGTTCTACATCCATCTTGCTTGTCAGTTTGTAATGTTACTATACAGGATACCATGGAACGAATCGATGAATTTACCACAGCAGCCCCTACTGACTTGGGAGAAGCTGGACGCTTAAGAAAAAAAGCAGACATTGCTACTACAAAAACTACAACCAGGTTTCGACCAAGCAATACTAAATCCAAAAAGGATGTAAAATTAGAGTTTTTTGGGTTTGATGATCAAGATGAGGGAGGGGGAGATGAAGGCGCCTCTAGAAGTTCTGGGAGTTCCAATTACAAAATCAAGTACTTTGGGTTTGATGACTTGAGTGAAAGCGAGGATGAAGATGAAGAATGGCAGGTAGCAGAAAGGAAAGCTAACAAAAAACGAAGTAGAACTGCACCATCTTCTTCGCTACAGTCAACCTCTGACGGCAATGAAAACTGTTCCCAGGATAGCCAGCTCAGTACTAACGCAGGTAAGCAGAACTCTTCTGGAATATATATTTAACATTTAAATTTAGTTGACCTTTGTATTTTGTTCTTTTTGCAATATACCTAGGAGTTTGTTGAACAGTACTACCGATTTGGAAATCTAAAAGTTAAATTTGCTTATTTCTGCTGTGGTCCTGTCTGGTGTTTCATAGCTGTCTTCAAGTATGCTTTATACCCCTTGATCTTTTGCCAGAGGCAGAGTTTTTTCTTTTTGAACAGAAAATTCTTACCTTTTTGGTGTGTTGGGCGTACAGTACCTATGCCTGGAAGGCAGATATCTTCCCACAGAAGCTCTACATCAACCCAGAGTTACAGAGCCGAGTGCAGAAATTTAAGTAGCTCTTAAAGATGTTTCCTTTTTGTGCTTTTGAACACATTTGTAAACAATTTGGACCTTTCTCAAGATCTGTCTTATCTGAGGATGCACGGCTCGAGGGAGAGGTTGTGGGGACCCATGGAGTGCCAGCCAAAAGACTGGCTTTGGGCGTGCCTCTGCATATTGATGTATTTCTGCTTTTGCTTCCAGTTTTCAGATATCTCCATCTTCTGCATAGGCGGTACGTGTGTGTGTGTGCACACACGCGCACACGAGTAAAACTGTTCACGCAGAATTTGCTGAGCAGGTTCTGGTGTTTGAGTGCCTTTGAAGAATTATACTTGCTCTGTGGCTGGTTGGGTCCTGCGTAATGACTTTGATCAAGGTTGAGGTGTGTTGGTGAAGAAGAAAAGGAGTAACTTGGGTGAAAGGTTTCTTTTAGCTTTTTCTTTTTTGAAAAAGTCTAATGCCAAAGTATCATGCATGTTGGAAAAAGTATTTCAGAACACTGCCGCTGTTCTAGGGAACCTTTTGGTCCTCCATTTTGGAGCATGAAGCATGAGAAGTTTTTATCCATTCACTGAAGTTGTTACATTTTTAAGACTTTGGCAAGATGTGTTTCATTGCGATGGGGAGAGGGGAGGACTTAAGTCTAACCTCACAAATGTTGGAGGAGCTGTTATTTCCTGCAAATAGCTTCTGCTAATATAACCCAGAAAGAAAATTTCATACAAAAAGCTGTTCATTTTTCTGTTCTAACTATAGCAGTCTTTAAAACCAGAATTGTCTGTAAGCCTTTTAATCAAAGGTAAATGTAACTGCAAGGTTTTTTTGTAAATTCCAAAAGGGCCAAATTGATACTGATGTTAAATGAGAAGATTGTGTTTTCAAACAAAAAAAAACCCTTGATTTATTTCCGTAAAACTTAATTATGATGAGACACTTGCATTCCAGCCTCTGTGGAAAATGGGTTTAACTTACAGGGCCACTGATTAAATACTCCATCTGAGTCCCTTTCTCTGATAAGTCTTTGTTCAGCCATTTATTTAAAAAAAAAAAAAAAAAAAAAAGAATCGCTTATACAGTTAATGCAGCTGAGATGCTGACCCATCAGATAATCCTTTCAGCTGCTGTCCTCTGGAATCTCAAAGTATCTACAGTTTGCATTCAGCACTGCATTCACCAAGGAGGCCATTGTACTCCAAGGTATCACAGATTATTTCTCTAAAGTATTTTCCTATGGGATTCCCATGGCACAGGTAGATGTAAACTTGTGTTTTGTTAGTTTCTTAATAGAATCTCCACTTCTCAGGTAAGAGCTACCTGTCAGTGCCTCTGTTGAGAGATGCTTCCTCTTTATTTTGCGTCTCCTTTGCTCATTTGATATGTGTTCTGTGCTACTGTAGCCAGCTGAGATTTAACTTGCATTTTTTCTTCTGAAAGTTGAAAGGGTGATGTGAAGTTTTTTCCCTAAGTTGCAGCACATTCCCTAGTTCAATCCTGTAGTGCAGGTTGTAAAAACAGAGAGTCTGGTGTTGCCCTAAAATTTGTAGGACTCTTTGATATATTTCATGCTGTCTTCTTTCAGACCTTGGAAAATTTTGAGCATCATGATCACTCAGAACAGCCATATTAAGGTCCTTAAATATAGTGATGCTGAGTCTGAGAATTTATCAAGGACTTCTGGATCTAAGCCTGAAGTTGCGGTAAAATATGTGACATTGCTGTGAGGTATCGTCTTTACATACGGAAAAAAGTGACTTCTGCATCCATCAAAAATGTCAGGTTTAAATCCAAGCCTCAGAAAAAGCTTTCAGAACATGTCGGACAATAAAACTTTTTCCTGAAGTTACAAACAGTACTGAGAGGTGCTAATGCTACCCGAGTTCTGTGTGCTGTTCTTTTCTGTACTAATGAATAAATCCACAGATAAAATCCAGTGTTCCCATTCCAGGTTGACAGGTGAAATGCCAGATTGCCTCTCTGAATTCCAGCCCCGGAAATTCCTAAGACTGATATTGATGTTCTGTGTGTAAAGAATGTTACTTGGTGTAGTCAGTTTTTCAAGAGATTTGATGCTTTCTGTTACAGTCTTTTTTGCCGTAGTACTGATTTGGTTACTTACCATAATCTAGGCCTATTTTTATGAAACATATTTTAGAATCTTAGCATCATGCAAAGATTTTCTAACTGAACTGGAAACGGATTATTCCTTCCAGTCTAGTAGCTCACAGTTGAGGGATTTAGTAATACATATTTAAATGTTTCTGCCAATGAAATTTAAGGAAGCACTAAAGACTCGATGGACAATATTGTTGGTGCAGGAAAAGATGCAAAGCAGATAAATTCAGTTTTAGTTAGACTGTCTTTCACTGAAGTGTCTCTTCTGTTGTTCACTGGTATGATAGCCTTGCCTGCTGAAACGGTTCAAAAACATCAAAAAACCCCAAACAAAAGCCAAACAAATAAAACCCAAAACAACCCCAAACCATGAGATGCTCCGGCTTTTAAATTCCTAGATGCTGTTCACAGACTTCTCTTTTTAATTAAGGTACCTCATAACTTTATAAGCCTGAGATTTTTGGTGAAGCTTTGAGTCCTAGTTGAAGTTGCTATTTTTTTTTCTTGCCGTTGCAATCTGAAATTCTCTCATATTAGGCGGCGTAACAGCCCAGTGAAGCAAAGCCCCTTTCACTCATGAGACTCCCAGTTGTAGTCTGCCAGAATGCCAGGGGCTAAAAGGACTGATGAGACTTTACTAGATCCAAAACAGTACCTGTATCATTTCCCTAGCCAGCTTACAGGATGACTTTAGTAAAGAGAAGCTTTTAATACTGGAGGAAAATGACTTAATTACTTGGCTATATTAATCAATGGGGAGTTGTATCCCAGAGAAATCTGAACTAATGACAAAGAAGAGGAAGGCTTAACCAAAAATAAGCTTCAGTTCTGAAGAGCAAGCCTTTATCTTTGGGACAGTGTTAGGCTTCTGGAAATAACTGTGCTATCAGTTTGTTTCTGTCTTTTTCTAAAGATCCTGCCATGGCTGTCAGTGGTTTGGGTGGTCACTAAGATTTCTAATATATTTAACTTCTGAACTTGTCGTCTCAGAATGCTTTATTTCCCACCTGTTCAACTGGGACACTTAGGACTATGTTAATGCTTGTTTTACTACATTTCATTTTGGCCAATGACAGTAAAATCATTACAGAAAGTGACAGGCATAAAAAAAAATGCTGACTAAAATTAAACATTTCCATATCTCTCTGTAGATTGACGTAAACAGGATAGAGCAGTTGCCCTGAAACCTTCCGCTAAAGGAAGATACGAAGATATATCCTCTCTAACATGCTTATTTTTATTTGGTTCGCCTCCTTCACTGTGTATCTCATAAGCAGTGTAGTAATGATGAACGTAATCTTTCTGGATAATAAAATAGCTTTTGTATATCAGCATCTAGCACTCAGTTAATTTCTGGTGAGCAAACTTGCCCTGTTGTTTGGTTTGTTTTTTTTTTTTTCTCCCTTTGCATCTCCTCAAAAAATGAATCACCTTAATTGGGTAAATATTTTTAGCCAGTTAAGAGTACATCAAAGTCCTCAAAGGCAGAGTCCTGTTTGGACTTTAAAAATCTTCTGCAGAATTACCCCCAGGCACTAAAACAAACTGGGTTGTTTTTCCCCAGGAAACTTACTGTGGTGTTGCCTTGTAGTTGGTCTTTGAACATCTTTCCAATTCTAGCTGAGACAGGCAAATTATCTCAAAGATTATAAATGCCTTGAAAATGGTTGGGTAGAGGAGAAAAGACCTTACATGCTCCCATATTAAGGAAAAGGTCAATATGCTCATCTTTTCTTTGAGGAGGGGAAAAAACATCCGTACGAGAGAGACAGTGGAAAACAAGCTTCATTAGTGTCACTGCTTACCAGACGTACTTGTGTCTTTGTGTGGCTCAGTTAATGTTCACAAAAGACTTCTCCCACACACCCTGTTTAGTTTAGATTTGAAAATCTGGTAAGATATGTATGCAGAGTGTTTTTAGGATACCTAGAAGGCCTCACAGTTGTTCAAATAAAAGCATTCCAGATAATCTTACAAAACCTAATCATAAAAGTGCTTGATATGCTAGCAACATCAAAAAATGCAAAATTATCCTATTGTAAGTAGGAGTTGAACTGTTTTTATCGAGAAGTTTCTTTGAATTTAAAATTACCTAATTTAAAAGGCATAGTTCAGGATCACATAGTAGAATTCAAAGAAAGAAACTTAGATGATTTTAAAATTGTGGCTTAGTTGATATAGAGCTCTATTAATCATTATTAACCACAATACCAGCTCCAAGTCTTAGAGCAAGGCACTGAATATTGTGCTGATGTGGTGGGTGAGAACACATCTTGCATTTCGAGAGTGACTTGCATGTTTGTAATTGCTGTCGTCAAATGAGTTGCTTTTTAGCTTTTAATCTACAGTAGGAGGGTCCAGTCCTGTTGGTTTGACTTTCTTTGGGACTTGCATTCAGGGCCTGGCCTCTTCAAAAGTATTTCAGGATTTGTAAGGATGTGTATCAAAGTACTTTGATTTGACTCCTTTAATTGGTTAAGTTGACTTTTATGTAGATTTGGAAATAGTTTTGCTTTATTTAAGTTAATGAGAATTGGTCTGTAATATTTTTCACCTGTTAGAACGATTTTTTTATCAAAACATCTTTTCAAGTCAGTTATTTTCAGAGGGATTGTTCGTGTTGTGTCCTTAAGCTCTTGTGCTGACAGCACACAGCTAGACTGAGAACCAGTGGGCTGGGACACGAGAGGCTGGCTCCTGCAGGTGCCTTGCCGTGGGCATCTTGCCTGCCCTGGTGCTGCCAGGCCTGTTGAAATTTACTGCCATTTAAGAAACTTCTGAGTCTTATTTTAAGAATACTTATATCCCCCAGACTACATAAATTTTGTGTCCTCGCGAGTGCCATTAGAAATTTGCTTGCCTGATTTGCTGTTGATTGCCTCCTTACCTAGGCGCTTGGCCAGCCCTGTTTACTGGGTGTGAGTGCACTTGGGATTAGAGTAACCGATGCAACCTGCTTGTATTTTTGCAGTGCAGTTTTCAAATAGCAGCAGCTTCTCTGGAATGGATTGGTTTTCTAAGCTGTTTATCAGATGAAACAGTGCTTCTCTGTGCCTGTCTTTATTTCCGTCTTGAAAGTTATGGTAACTTCTGGTTTGGGCCAAGTAAGAGAACATAAGCTGGTCTCCCAGGGATAATGCTTCAAATACAACACAAGTTTAAAGAAAAAAAAACCCAGGACAAGAATTGAATTAGATCAGTGAATTGTAGATTTACAGTCCAAAACTGAGTACCAGAACTACTGGTAAGGCAAAAGTACTGAATACATTGAAAGGCCATTTCAGCAGTTCCTTCTAGCTGACTCCTTTCTGAGCTGATGACCATATTTTTTAATACTGTTTCTAGCAGAATAAGCAAATATAAACAGGCTGCCTTCCTGAGAAGTGAAGTAGGATCGATTCTTCGGTCCTGTAATCGTAGCGGGAGGTATTCTTCTTCTAAATCTCTTAATGTCACGCTTTTGAAGAACCCCATCTACTGTTTAATTCATCTGCTGCTCAGAGTTGTAGCAATACGTGTAAGCAAGCACATATAAAAGGTAACCTGCGATTCACAGGAGTACAAAATGGGAAATAATAACTTGAAGCTTACATAATGGGCAAGAGGTGCTATAATAATTGTGACCATGTACCTTGTAATGTATCTTCCATGTATTATGACAGCCCAGTCAGTAAACGTGAGCTCCCTCCAGAACTGTGTTGGGCTTTAAAGCTGATTTTTCTGATGAAGGTTGGTTGTTAGATAATTTCAGAAGCTATGCATGTGGAAACGTCAGATGCAAGAAATGCTCTAGCAGTTCAGCAGCTTTCAATATGGTTGGTTTATGTCTATATTTACCTTTTACAGATCTTCTGGAGTTTTCGGAGGATGCATCTGGTGTGCCTGAAGGCAATAAGAAATCCACAAATAAACAAGGTGATAAATCTAAGGAAAACACCAGGAAGATTTTTAGTGGGCCAAAGCGGGTGAGTAATGATACTGAGACCAGGAAGTTCCAAGTAACCAAGAATAAAGTTCTTACTTTAATTAACTCTTCAGGATTGATGTTTCTTCCTATATATGTAACAGGGCTTTTGTCCCAGTTTATATCTGCACTTGAGATAATTTGTTGACTTTTAAGATTATATCTGGAAAAGTAAAACCTTCAAGTGCAAAACTTTTGTATCGATTACTGGGAATTTCACTTGTCAGATGCAAGTCTGGGGTTGTACAGTGGTAATGCGCAACCTAGTTGCATTCCCTTCTAGATGATTATTAAAGAAAAGTGCCATTAAATGCTGTGTGTGGTTGTTTTGGGTTTTTTTTCTTTCTTTGCTCTTCCAAGAAATGTCTATCATATTACAGGATTGAACCTTTCTAAAAGCTTCAACTTTGGCATTGGTATAGTCTTTGTAAGGACAAGTGCCTTTACAGCATGTGAAAAAGTGAGATTTTTCTTTTAGTTAAAAAAAGAAAAGTAACCCCTGATCCCACCCCTATATACCCATACTATGGAGTATTCAGTATGAATTTGCCCTTTCATACAGTGAATGGGGCTTATTCATTTTGTTGATGCTAGGTGTCGTTTATCTTACCTGTTATTATAGGTTAGTCAGTATTTTGGGGATTTTAAAAATGTGCATACAGCAAAAATTGCATTTAGCTATTATGCGAAAGTTTGCAATAGTGGGAGCTATGTAATCTCCATTAAATGACTTGGTTGTCTAGGATACCCATTTCTAATGCTTTAAGGCCTTTTCATATGCTTTTTGCATAACATGTTCCCGTTGTCTGGTGAAGAGAGTTAGCTGGCTCACCATCGTTGCAATCCAGAACTGGTGTAATAAGAGAAAAAGGGAACTGGAGAGGGAAATGCACTTGTATTTCTGCTTTCCCTTTGAGTTCCATAAGTTTTGCAAGACCCAGCAGTTGCATGTTATAATAGAAACTCTTTTATATGTGTTCAGCCATCTAACAGTTCTAAGAATTTTTAAAAAAAAAATTTTCCTTGTTATTTTTCCTAAAGAATTCTAATAATTAAATCACACTCTAAAATTTCTCCAAAAGGTAGCTAATTACTTGTGTTATATGATAGTTTCACTTGAAGTAATTTTTTAAGGTTGGTTTTTTTTTTTTTCGTTTTCTGGAACCAGAAGATTTATTGTCTCCCCAGCTGTGTTGACATATAATAATTTTCCATTTTAAAATGTGGATTTGTGAGTGAAGGAAGGAGGACAAATTGGGTTTATTTCTCAAAACATGCAAGGGAGTATTTTCATTTGGGAGGACAGGTGACCAATAAGTACTGTCAGTTGCAATGCCCTTTTGAAAAGAAGTATCGCTCCTTGTTGGTTCGTGCCTTTGGACAGAATGGGGAGCTCTTAGCTGCTAACTCTTGCCTCCAGAGTTTGAAGTCAGGCTACCAATAAGCAAGGAGGGTCTTTTCAGAACCAAAATAGTATTTCTTGAAGATGAGTTCTTCAGCTTCTGCTGATTAAATGATCACTTTTTAAAAATCGTCTTCCTATCAGTGAACATGTTAACAATAGACTGGGAAACAGAAGTACAGGGAATGTAAATTTAACTGTACCTTTTTTGCTGTATTTTTTTAGCAGCATAAACCAGCTGCGAGTGTTCTGGTAAATATGGAGTATTTTTTTTTTAACGCTTAAAGATCTATATGCTTCAAATCCTATTCTATAATAGTATTTTATGTGTCTCTTGTTTAATCTTTATACTTCAAATATGTAAATGTTAATATGAAAACCGTTTTAATGGATTTTGAATATATATGCCATGAGATTACGTGGAAAAAAACCTTACAGCAATATCATAGTATATGAGAGAAAATGGTTTCAACTCTAGAAAACTCTCAGTTGGGAATAAACTTAATTCAAGTGGGAAAGGTGAGAATTAAAAGCCTTTTTGACCCTGTAGTGATATAATGGACCTAGAAGTAGAAATTGCTGTAATTGCAATTCAGGTTTTAAACTTTAATGCTCTCTAATCATATGGCTGTTACATGGAGTTACTAAAAAAGCTTGTAAAGCTTGTTCTGGTGGTAATTAGAGACGCTATAATTATCTTCCTAAACTATAGATATAGACTCTTAATCTCAATTGCATCTTAAGGGAATTTTCATTCTGGGAATGAAAAAAATGAACTAAAAGTATTAACCTGACCAGAACTAAATGATCTGAAAAAAAAAAAAAAAAAAAAAAATCTCTGGAACTTCTTCAATGTCTCATCACCATTTTTTTTTTTCTTGTAGAAACTAGCAGATATAGTATTAATTATTTTCTGCTAGGTGGTGATGTTAGGGGTATGTACGGCACTTTGCGTCACACTGAGCTGAAAAGTAAACAGCTCCGTTACTCAGGAAGCAATAGGTGGTATTGTTAAACTTCAGTAGTTCCAGAAGGCTGAAGTATTTTTTCCAGTTCGTAGTCAGCAGGACTCTAGCCCATGTTTGTGGTTTTGAAACCTGACCATTGTACTCTAATATTAAAGTCCAGTTCTTGAAACTCTGAGCATATGCGTAATAAAAGATTACAGACATTATTGACTTAGTGAATAACGTGTTCCTAAAAACTGCTTTTAACGTAAGGAGTCTCACTGAAATCACTGGCTATTCACACACATAATAATGAGCATAAAAGTTGCAGTAGCGTGTACGTTATGGTAGGTAAAGTCTCAACCAGAATTCTGCTTTTAAGTGAATTAAAACTTGTTATCATGAGCTTGAGTTACAGGGGGAATATTGTGTTCCGTAGCAACATAATTATGTACTTACAGTACATAAATATTGGCATTACTTGACTTGCAAATTATGGGTGTGAAGCAGACATGAGTAACATCTGCAAAAGTTTGTTTGCAGCTGTTTACAGTTTTAATTCAACTGGTTAGGTAACTCGTGCTCTAGCCTGTAAGTTTGGGAACTCCGTGGGGCTGTGATATGCCCACCTGCTGGTCCCTTTGAGCTTAGTTCCCCTTCTACAGATGAAACTAATTCTCAATGATCAGGCAAAAACCAGTAAGGTATGCAAGAATTTTTTTGTTGCTGTGGTCCAAATCTGCTCAGACTAAAGGCTTGAAAATAGGAACCAGAAAAATTCTTTCCTGAGATTTCTTGTTCCTACCGCTCTCACCACAGATTTGGGCTAGAGTCAGCAAATGAGGAGAATCAGTTTTTGTAGGAATACTCTGGAACAGTTCCCTATGGTCTTATGCAAACTATATGTGTCTCTAAATAGACACCTGGGAAAAAACCCCTTTAGAAATGTAAGATAAAGAGAACTATCCCCAAACTTAATCTTTTGATTGATCAGTCCTAGAAGTTGATGACTATGCCTGGTATGTTGTGCCAGAGCTATACTGTCAGTTCAGCGTTTCTGTTGTCCAGCATGTCATTAAGGACCACCAAATCCTCTGAACTGCAAATTTTCTGGGATGGCCCTCTGCTCTTAAACTTGACATGTATGATAAAGAGTGACCTGCAACTCTGTGCTGATACTAGTTCTGCCTGTGGCCATAGGAAGCCAACCTAGACAAGGTGAATACTGATTACCTTTGAATACTTCAAGGTAAGAATGTAAATAGAATTGCAAATCATAATTAAAAGGTATGGGAGCTTTTCAGCTTGAGGGGCCAGGGAGAGGGGGAAGGCTATAATCCTTCTGTTAGTGCTCTTCAGTGCTGCTAAGATATATGGGAAGACTTACTGTTGCATGAAGTAGGACAAAGGAGGTATAACAGAAAAAATCACTGACTCTTTCAAGTAGACATACCCAAAAGCGGTCTCCATGTTGTGTTTTCTCAAAGTAGCATGAAATTTCAAGGTATTAGATGAGTGCTATATCAGGACAGGATTTTTTTTTTCTTTTTCCCTGTGCCTTAGAATAGGTGAATTTTAAAAATTTGTCTCTTGGAATTAATTTCTTAGATGTTGAATTTTTTTGGACTGAGTATATTTCATAAAGCTTCCATGCTAGTATCAACAGAATGCAATTTAGCACCTATAAAAGACTGGCATTTTCTTGAGAGAGTACAACATATCCTTTTTATGATTAGTAACATGAGGAAGAAAGTACTTACTGCATGGACAGTCTACATTGGTGATTCATGGACTACTTCAAACTAAAAACTAACCTGAGTGTTAGTCCATTGCTTAATGACTTCTGACTTCAGTTAAAATTTGTGGTTTTGCTTTAACTACTCACTTTTGCAATAAGAATTGAATGCTTATAAACAAATTTAAACTAGCTTAAATATTTTTTCTTATTCTCTTGTCTTGCTGCGCCTGGAGAAATTTCTCTAAACTTGCTTCTTGAGGTCTTAGCTCTAGAAAACCTGTCTGTTTTGCGACTCTGTGCATTTCCCCACATGTACACAGTGAATGGGAAGAACAACATTACATCATTGTGTGCTTCCCCCCCCTTCTCCATCTTGTGCATGCATTGAGTTGTACAGGAAAAGGTACGGAAAAACCTCTTTGCCACTAACTTGATTATCATAGTGTTTCCTTTGGTCCACTCACTCAAGTACTGGACCATTGAGTTTCCTGTGCAAAGCACTTCCCTTGTTTTTAACAGCGGCATTGCTTGAAAGTTACTCTACCGGTGTGGAATGCATTTGTCAGGAAAAGCTGAGATTTTCTTGTATTATGCATCAAAAAAACAACAACAAACCCCCCCAAAAACTTCCCCAAACCCAACAAAACTCCACCTACTGTAAGGACTGGTTTTGCCTGAAAAAGGTAAGAAATACTGACGGAAGTGTTTGGTGAAGCTGCCTTTGCTCTCCTTTTGCTCCACCTGCTCGCTCCTGTTCCTTTGCTCCTTCAGTTTCCCGAGGTATGTGTTGGATTAAATTGAGGAACCCATCTGTCTTTAAAAAATAACCCACTAAAAGGAAACATTTAACATAAATCTCAGTCGGGTTCACTGGGAGACTGTAAACAATTGTATCCACTCAGTTGAGGGAACCA